CTTGGTGGTAGCACTTGAATGATGCATGGACCTATCTTTCTATTCGAGAGCGCTGTAATGTCAATTGCTTTAGATCTCATGCGCACTGCCCTGCCAGAACGGAGCCACTGTGCTTCAAGGCAGGACCCACGGCTCAGTCTGCGAACCTGTTGCTGTATGCTTCGCGTGGATACTTGATGCTGATTTACATGGGGGCTGTGCTGCCTTTTGGACCTGCCAGGTATGATTCACTCGTTCCTCGCCCACAAGCAGCTCCAGCAAGGTCTGCATGATTGTCGGCAAGATTGTGTGTTGTAACCCCACACAGAAAGCTCATACCACATACGATTTTTTTCTTGTCTTTGCGCCAATTTAGCTTTTGCCTCGAAGGTACCCAAAGCCTTGTCGCAATTCAAAATCTTGCCGAAGGTGAGCTCCAGTGCCTTGAGCAAGGCACATCTGCAATGGGCAGTATCGGGCCCAGTCTTGTCATTGTTCACCCTGGTGTGCATCGCTGCGTTTGCCTACTTGCAGAATCCTGGCACAGAGTTGAAATTCCGAAGCCATAAAGAATAAAGATAAAGTATGCTGCTAGGACCCTCCTTGCGCGAAGTGCATTTCCGCCGGATCGGCAGCCAGAAGCAGGAGTGACAAGAACAAAACAATCGGGTAATTTCCATTTTCTTTGCCACTCATCTTCATGGTTCCGTGAAAACCACTTGGCCTATCAAGAGATGTTCAAGCTTGCAGCTATCAAGGCCAAGCAGCAGCGGTTCCTACCTTGGCTGCTCTCAGAACAAGAGTTCTCTATGTCAAGGCCAAGGCAATTGTAACATGCCTGTACTGGATAAATCTAGATATGCATTACTTTCGGAAGCGGGGTGTGTTCACATCAGATATACAACATGTAACATGCAATACATCATCTATGCTTGTATATGTACACATTATACTGTATCTATCGACCTGGGGGCTGAGGTGGCTCAGAACATTGTTATGATCGGCGAGGAGTTTTTGAGTGTTTCGAACGTGGGGTGACGCTGACATGTGGGATGCTGCTCAACTCCACGGTAGTATGCACGGGAGCAGGTCGCGTGCATGATTGCTGACAGAGTTGAATCCTTGCATTCGATTTTTCCTCTAGTAGAAGGGATGTCCAAAAGAAGGTCTGGACACATCCATCCCACTTGATCCCACCGGTAGCCTGTTTCCTGCGGCTGAGTCTTAACACGACGCCAGGAAAAAGCCATCAACACCTGGAATGTCTGCGCAGGCGATTTCCTTCGCTTCATGAAATGTGCAGAAATCTTCAATGCCACTGAAATCAGCCTGCTTGCAGTCATCGCCACATCTTCCCTGGAAGCTTGCAAGCTATGTTAGCTCCGCGGTGGATTTATGGGTACAGCTTCTCAGAAATGACCCAGCTTTTAGTCATTTTAGTCGCGAACGCGAGCTTTGGAAACTCCACGGCCTATCAAACATCCGCACTATGGAAGCGAAGCCAGCGATCCTGTAGGGGAGGCCTGCAAGGCCTGGCAGCCATGCTTGTTCCAAGTAGTTACGCTACTGGATCCTAGTGAAGGCGGTGGCATTACTTACTTGTGCACTTGGGGTTAAACCCACGATCCTACAGGCACCGTCTCGTGGACCAGTGAAGTCTGAAGCGCGGCTGGCAGTGCTTTACCAGATTTCTTCGGGATGTGGGGTTGTGTGAATTCTGTCCATGTCTTCATGCCAGGCAGACAAGAAGCTGGATGAAGCCAATTCGATGTTTGAAGAGATGTTCAATGGTGCGATGGGAGTAAGCCCGGCTTCGGTTTAACACACCTTGCAAGGTTTGTGCGTGAAGCAATCAGTTTCTCTTCGCTTGTTTCGCTCTGGCTCAGAGCCTGAGTGCTTTCATGGGTGCTGCTGTTCTACTGGAGGCTGTGTTGTTGCTTTGAAGCACTCATAGAAGAAGATTCCTCATCACTTCCAGATTTTGCCAGGCCAGTTCTGGTTCTGCCAGCTCGCAGGGTGCAAAACCTGCACCGAACCCGTTCAACGCATTCAAAGGCCATGTGCATGCTATGAAAACTGGCTTCCAGCACTTTGTTGCAACAGGAGTAATATCCAGCGGAGTGTTTCCCTCTAATGTGAGCTCATCTTTTTTGATCTGAATTCCAGTTTCTGCGGAATAGATTCTCAGAGACGACAGGTAAGCGGGCTTGAAAGATAGGGTTTCTTCCTCCGGCAACTGCATTGCCGAGGTACAGTAGCGAAACTCCACATTTGCGAAGAGCGGCGTTAGTCTGAATCAGCAAAAAAGCAGTTGCAGTCATTGGATGATAAGGATTGCGAATAGTCCGTGGATCTAGACAGAGCTCGCGCAGGTTTCGTGAACCAGGCCGACATCGCTCCAGATGTGAGGGATGGTCTCTTAGTTGCCGAAGTGGCAGGCTCTTGCGACTCATGATTATGAAGGTAAATTAGAGTGATACAATAGTCTGAATTGCTGTGCCTGCAAACCAAGTGGAACAGTCTGATGCAGTCGAGTTGGCAGCCAGGGATCAAACGGACCTGTGCCTGTAGCGGCGCCGGCGCCGGCGCCTGCACAGGTTGGTGGTGTGACTGCGGCTGGATATGGACGCACGAAGTCACAGCAATCATGCCAGAAAGTAGCTTGTAAGGCAGGCGAGGAATAGCATAGACTTGGACTTGGATATTTAAAGTGATCCATGTAGCTTGACCCAGACTGATGCCTTTTCATGACGAGGGAGTTTAGCTCACGATGCTCTTCTTGTGCTGCAGCGATTGGCCCTCAAGGTGACAGATGCCATGAACATGTGGGGCCTTTCACAGGCGCACAAGAGCTTCTGTCAACTGTCAGATAGTTGAGAAGCACATATCTCAGTTAGTTTTGGTTTTTATATTCTGTATACTATTATACTTCTTTTTATGTGATGCATCTGCCAGGGAAGACGACTCCAAATGCCCATGATGGGTTCGGATCCTGGAACTGAGTGCCCGGCATGAAGTTTCTACAGTCAAGCGCCAGTTATCGTATGGCCTTTCAGGAGGCATGCCTGGGATGGGAGGTGCAGAAAGCGGTGTTGGCCTCGGCATTTGCATCACCTTTCATATGCCATGACAATTTGCTTGCCTCCACAAGCTACGTCTTTTGCCCGAAAACAACTGGACTCAACACAAAACCGCAGAACGCCCAGCTGATGGCCTCTTTGCTTCCAGGAGGTGGAGGCGGAATGGACCCAGCCAGGAACCAAAGATCTGGTGCACACAACATAGCACGATCTGAGCACGGGAGCTGCAGATGATAGAAATTGGCAATTAATGCCTAGAGCTGCACGGCCTTCTCCTTGTCATTGCATACATGCTGAACATGCTGAACATGCTGATTCATGCTGTTCATTCTTAGTTGTGCGTAGCATGTCCTAAATCTGGTCTTGGAATTCCATACGAGAAGAGTCCGCTCTCAGATGCAGATGATGGGCGCCCAAACCTCAGAAGTCTGTGCCATTTTTTTATGGCAACCTGTCGGCTCCAGTGTAGCAACGAAAAGACCTGAGCATGACACCTCAAGCTTCCGGCAACAACGAATTTTGTGCATCTGAACAGGGTGCAGCTATGGCAGCTCAGTTAGCGAAGCAGGCGGGGGCCTCAGCCAAGAATGTTTGGAATAGGACCAGGCAGACTTCCGTGCTTCGAGTGCCACGTCTCTTGGGATGCGTTGGTTTTGAGCCTTCCGCTAGAATGGTGGAAGAGTATCTTCATGCTTAGAAGCAGAAGCTTCTGGCTTCGCGTATTTTGAGGTCCAGGAGTTGGGTGGCCTCAGTCACAAAGTCATGCAGAGATGCTTGAAAGGCTCGCACCCCGTGATCGATGGAAGGATGTTGTTGGCGGCTGCATGTCATGCTTTTGCCCGCGGGCTTTACCCACAATGATTATGAAATAGGTGCCTGTGTGCACTCGGGAGGATTACAAGGCTGCATTGGCGTGAGCCAACACCATCAAATGACATGAGAATACCGCTCCTTCAGAAAGGAGCATCGCAAAAAGCAAAGGCGTAGGCGTGGAGAAGCGATGGCTTTGCATAAAGCATCAATCTGCATCGCAGCGTGCATGTCACTCATGGGGTGTCGCACACAACTAGTGCATCAACGGGCATCTCTCGATCTGCTGCCCTGAGAAGTCCACGTCCCAAGGTCTGCACCCTCTAGCTTTCACGTGCGGAGCTCATGAATTGCAGGCGACGCTCAGCAGGCGTTGAAGGTGGCTGCATCACGAGCTCAGCTTCTTGGCGCCTTTCATTTGTGTTGCTACTGGATCGTTATATTTTGGCCAGTCAGATGCAACATGGCAGGCGTTGTCTCCGTTGCTGCCTTTTTTGTTTATGGTCCTTGTCCCGCACTCCAAGCATGACAGTAAATTCAACACTCGGAAGGCCACGTTTGTTTCGCAAGACCTGAAGTAGTGCCGAGTCATGAGGGCGTTGGTACGACTCAGATTCGGGATTCGAAATGCTTTTGTCTCATCATATGCCCTCGATGAGGAACCCGGCGTGGATGCAGAAGGCCTTCATTGCCAACGGACCCCAAGCCCTGGGGCACATGGCAGCCTGAGACTAAGATCAATATTATTTTCACAGTGTCTTGTGGAGCAAGCATTTCTCCATGCATTAGAAAGGGATTGCGCTCATTCCTAGGGAGCGAGCGAGAGGGGCCGCATTTCATGTAATCTTCCCAGAGCAACATGCAGCAACATACTGGGAGCGCAAGACTTCTTGTTCAGGATGCCATAAATGCGTACCATGTTGGCGACGCCCACACGTTTGGGGATGCTACCGGCATCGTGCCCTGGATGGAAATAGTGGCAGCGTCAGTTTCTGCAGAAGGGTCCAGATCATGCATTCCCTGTTAGCCAGTCTCTCTCCATCAGCATGGGAGCGTTTCAGATACATGGTCTGAAAAGGTTTGATCAGATCTGCAGGTTAGCACCAGGTTGAGCAAGCAAGGGTTGAGATGAAGGTGATGCGAGAGATGTTGCTGAACAACGCTGACAGCATCCCGACGCAGGCAGTGCGCCTGTGCACAGCAGCTATGGCTTTACTGGCCGAGATGTAGTTGCAGTGTTGCTGGAGATTTGGGTTGAAGGGCTCTTTCGCCCTGAGGCTCTTCCAGACAAGAAGGCGTTGGCCAATGTCACTGTCTGAACCCAAGCTGCGAGGCAACACAAGTTTGGCCATGCAAAGGTTCCTAGATCCCTGGCTGGGCGTTGCTGGTGTGACAAGATATATGTTCCATTGCAAAGGAATTCACACGGCGTAGCCTTGCCTGGCCCAAAGCCTTTCCAGCCTTGATTGTTGGAGTGAAATCCATTACTCGGTCGCAATTTCTTGGAGATGCAGTTCTTCCTGCTCTTCATCTTAGTGGCGCACTCCGTGGGTTTGCGGCAGGACCAGGAGCATGAAGCACATGATTCTGCCAAGAGGTCCACCCTTTGCTGCGTTGCCGCGTTTGCGGACTACCCTACCAGTGATAGCGCCTTTCAAAAAGATGCGTCCTTCATGCTCGGGAATGCAACCGCTACTGGGGCCTATGGTATTGGGGATGACTTCGTTCTCGAACACTTTGCGAAACACTGTCATGATGCTTTGCAACTGGAGAAGTGTCCCCATGTGAGCACCTTCACTTTCCTCGCTGGTGTGCACACGCCGAAGTCACACACCATTAGCCTTATCGATGAGTTCTTGAAGAAGTACAAATTCCACTCAGAGGAGTATGGCATGTTCCAGAGGCAGCCTGGATGTCCTCCAGCCCTTAAGAGGCAGAAGGACATCAAGCGTTGCAGCAAGGACTTGAGCCATTTCATGAAGCTGCTGGAGTTGTGGAAGGAGATCCTTCAAGATGTCAAAGACGTGAAGAGGAACTCGGGTGTGAAGGGCTTCTTCTTTGGGAGCAAGGAGAAGAAGCAAGCAGCCAAGAAAGATCTTGCCCACGTGAAGGAGGGGCTTCAGGCACTTTGGTCGTCATAACTCGAGGACTACGGTGATGCCTGGAGAAAAAAAGTGACAAATTCCAAAGCCTGGCATTTTATTGGAGCTTCTGTTGGACATCTAACTTGGCAGTTTGCTCTAAGGGTGGCTTCATGAAGGGCTTCTTCGGCCTGAATCCTAGATTGAATCAGTAGGTGCCTTCTTTTGAACAGGCTTGAGCTCGGGTTCAGGCCCTGGCATGACAGCAACTATCAAGACGCCGGAGGAGCCAGCCTTCGAGCTCAGACATGCTCAGAGCATTTCAGAGTATTTGCCGATCGGTTGGGAGAAAGTTACTTAAATGCCGCGGCAGCAACAAGTCTGCTGAGAACGGGATCCAAATAGACCTCAACAAGTGCGTGGGCAAGAATGTCGGCTTGTTCCAGTCTGTTATGGCCTCGGCTTGCTGCTTGAAATCGACCAGTCGACAGTAAATTAATCCTTGTCTGCATGGATCTGCATCTTGACTTGTGAGTAAGTGCTTCGCATGTGGATGGTGCATGATTCCATGTCATGGTGATTTATGGTGTGCAGGGCTAGGAAACATTTCAGGCTGTTAAGTGCTCCTTGCTGCCAGATGTGGGCATCCGTGATGCAGTTCTACGGCAAGCAGGGAATGCCTACATCGCAGGTGTCTGCAACCAGCTCGGGTTTCGTTATACCGTTGTCTCTCGCCAGCAGCAACCAACGAACGGAACTTCAGAGATGGCAGCTGGCAGGAGGAGAAGCAGAAGCAGGCCACGCTACTAGCGTGTGGAGCTTGGCTTTTATTTGAGAAGACCTGCTACGGACAGGCAACATGCTATGCACAGACAACATCCTTCTCAGGCAATTCCCTGGCACGTCTGATAGTCATTTCAACCAGAACCGACCACCAAACCTGCAACCACCAGTTGCTGAACATGCCAGGCATGTGCATGTCCTTGCTTTCATCTGCACATCTGTTTGAGCTGGCTCTTAGGTACGCTGCCATGCAGATGCCGCGTGCTCTGAAGATGTGCCAAGACTGCACATCAGGAAGCTACATTGTGTCTGACCTCGTGGATGCAGACGCAAGCATTTGTTTGGTTTGGCCGTAGGAGCGGAAGCAGGAGAGCAAGTAGAAGCAGTAGTACATAAAAGCCCTCAGCAGCAGTAGCAGCAGCAGTGGGTCTTTGTTCCGATGTTCGCTGCAGCACAAGAAGCAAAGTACCTGTGATAGCGAACAGAAGCACCGATGGTACGAGGTTTCAGTAGAGTATTCAAACACATGAGAATAATGTGAGAAGTACTAGCAATGAACAACAGCCATAGCCATAGCAGTAGTAAAGTAGAAGCAATGTCGTGTCAGCTCCCAGGCGAGGGTGGGGGGGGGCAGTGCCTAGACCAACACAAAACCTGTTGGCTCGCATGGGCTTCGAAAGGAGGACTCTAGGGAAGAGGTGAATGTGGCTCCCAACTTGACGCTGGATCGCCTTCGTCAACAGTTCGATGCTAGCAGTCGCAGAAGCAGTCGTGCCAGCGATAGTCGATAGGTGGCAGCGGAGAGCATCATTGCGCCGTCTATGTTGCGATGTATCAATCAATGTAATTAGTCCTTTCTGTGTGATTTATCCCTCTCCTTCCCTGTCATCCCCAGTGCTTGAGCTTGTTGGCTTGTCAGCAGTCACAATATGTGCTTGCACACTGCTGTGGCTGCAAGATACATAGCCTGCCTCTTCCTGCCTCTCCAATAGTTGGGGGTGTGGCGGAAGGCAGCATCCAAACACCCGAGGCCCGGAAGCTGGGGCTGGCGGGCGGGTGGGCACACAGCGGAGGCAATGGGCGGGCGACGACAAGCGCAGAAGGGGCGGTGAGCCTCATGTTGCCTTCTTCCATGAGCATGCTTTTGTCAGTAGCTTTCGTGATTCCTGTGCTGAGGTGCAACCTTGGTTTGAGGCTCAGACAAGTAAATCCAAGGATTGGGATTTCTGTAGCGAAGATGAACAGTTCCTGTGCTGTGGGAACCTTGGCATAAGGCGAGGAGGACATTCAAGCCATCAAGGATGCAATCGCTGACCTTCTGCCGCGTTTCTGCGATTTTACAGCGTGTCGCTACGTCCGGAGTTTGCCATTAATGATTGGCACTGTCAAAACTGGGGTCATGAGTCAGGACAACAGTTGGGGCGATGAAAAGCACCGTGTCCGCCACTGCCAGGGTATGGGCAAGGGTGTCGACATGTCCGTTCACATCCCGCAGCCGAGAGAAGCCTTCAGCAAGACTGAGGCTGGCATTAAGCTCAGAGACGGGTGGTCTTCTGCGATAAAGCATGATACTGTAAAGCGCAGCTTTTCCTACACATGGCTGCAAATACTGGTAGCTATGCCTTGGCAGGCAATGACAGACATGGCACAGACCGTGAGCGGCTATCAGAAGCTCATTTCGGACAGAACGGGAAACAGTGTTCTTTGATTTCTGCAAGGATTCTGGGAGATTGTACTGGGACGTCTCATGTAAAAAATGAAGTACCACGCAACTTCCAGCATGAGGTAATCCTGCATGTTTGGCGACATTTCTGGGCAATAGCGGGTCATGAGCGCTTTGTTTTTGCTCAAGGCACGCAGGTGGCAGTCGACACAGCCATCACCAGTCCAGAGACCAGCAGGAAGTGTAGCAAGTCTTGCCGAAGGACCCTTCTTCTGGAATCGATTTCGGGTTAGGTCCCCGGATGCTACAAATCAGTGGCTGCCAGTTTTGATTGATCGATTGATTGATGGCTTCGCTCGACATAGGGCTTATCTATTTGCGGGAGCAAGTCGCTTCAGGCAGAAGCTTGGAAACATCTTCCAGGCACGCATCGTAATCGGCCAGTAGCCGATTCAGCTTCACATTTTGGCATGTGCCTGGTTCCTCCTCCTCCTTTGTTTGCCTAGTACATTCTGCCTTCTTTGTTTCACGCCGCCGTAATAGGGATTTCCTTGCAGTGTAGATGATCAACATGCTGAATAGAAGGGAAGCCATGCCCAACATCATGACCGAGACATCGCCCAAGTGATAATTTCGCAGAAAGTGGTGGAGAATGGCTTCTCCCAGAAGTACTATGTCGCCATAACCTCAGCGTTTGACACTTCTTGTCAGTCCTGTTTGGGTCAAGCATTCAGGCCGCTGTGAACCGTTGACGCCTTGTCATCAGACTTGACATTACATGTACTACTTCGCTTGGTATGGCAATTAATGGTGGAGGCCATCTATCTTAAATCTGTTTGCTGGAAAGATGTATACCGCGATCCAAGGATAGCAACGGCAACCTCAGAAAACGATTGGTGCAGCTTTCTTCGCAACGTGGGCTGGCAGGCCCATGGGGAGCCTTGTCAAAGGACCTCGCAAAGACAATGATTATTGAAAAATGTTGTGATTCAGTCTCCACTGAAACAACTTTCTTGGCTTGATTAGTTGAACCGCGAAACTCCACAACTCCATAGGTGTTCCGCAGTAGACAGAAATTGGAACTCCTGGAGATCTCGAGGTGTGCATCTTTTTAAACGTTTCCTGTTTTCCACGCAAGTGTCAGCGGTTTCTGCCAATGCCAGTTAGAGATGTGTGCGCATTTCATGTCAGTCTTGGTTGCACGTTGCTGCTTCTGAGTCCAGCGCCTGTTGTTGAAGCAGTTCCAGCACGAGAATTTTTTTTTTGTGAATGCGCATCCTGCGCCCTGCGCTGCCAGGCGCTCAATCCCTGACTCCAGCGCTTTTGGTTTCTGGGTATTGCAATGATTGCGTGCAATGGCATGGCATTTCGGGAGTGAAGGTAAGAGCGCCTTCAAAGGGCGACAGTGGTTCCTTCAGCATGTGGTCCTTCATAACGTGCGAGGTTCTGGTCGTGGTGTTTCTGCTCTTGGTCCTTGTCGCTGTCAAAAGCCGACGAGCCTTTGCAGTTGGGGACTTGGCTTAGGGCAAATTCAGAAGCAAGATCTTTTGCAGGCATTGCTTGAATTGCTTGAGCTTTGCATGCTGCTGATTGTGAGCTTTACTGTCTCATGCTTCTAGGAGTGCGTGTAGTAGCTGGCCAAATCTGGCCAAAGATCACAACCATCGTCGTCACCATCGTGTTCATCATTTGCAGTGCCGCACACATGCAAATTCCAACAGCAGTTTAGTCAGCTTTTTTGGGGTTGTGCTATGTACCCCTTGTATTCCAGCACAAGTGGCATGAGAGTAGTCCTTGGAGTTGGATGTAGGCGCTGTGCTCTCAGGGATGGAAAGAGCACCTTTGCCAGATGGAATGCACCGAGGCACATGAAATCTTGCATGCTTGTTCTGCTTGTTGAATGTGCTTTCGAATGGCGTTTGTTTGACATCGACCTGGTGGTGGATGACCACTTGCTTGCGGTTGCCTCCAGGCTCCGTAAGTGACTTGTAGGTAGCAAGTTGAAAATTCCTAAACTTGCAACGCTTTTCTTAAAATTTCTGGAGTGCTCGTTGGATCCGAACTCTTGTGCAGTTTGAGCTGTTGATGCTTTTCAACTTCAGTTTGTAGTTTCCCGGACAGTTTGTCCAGCGGGTTCTTGAGTAGGATTCTGTGCATTCTTCAGCGTTCCTTTGCCGAAACACGAACGTTGAAACTCTGCACCGAGCTGGTTGCGGTGCACCGCAGAGTGTTTCTGCAATGTCAACTTCAGCCGAAGCCTTCAAACGTTCACTTGACCATCCCATGTATTTTGCTGCATTCGTTCGGGAAGCTTTCAACCAATCGACCACCAGTTCGTTTGTCGAAACGGTTGGTAGACTGAGACGTGAATGGGTTGCGATGGTTGCCGTAGTTCCAGAAAGTGGTGGCGGATACCAGGACATCATCAGACTTGTGCACAGGCTGCTGTGTGGTGTCACGCAGCCAGCTTTTGCTTGCCCACGCGCCGTGTGGCACATGACTGGCTGAATGCATTTCTTACTTACTTACTTACTTACTTGCTTACACACTGACTCACTCTGGCTTACCTTCAGGATGCCACCGCCAATGCAACGCTTTTATCATGAGGCGGTTGAACGAAGAATTTTTGAGCAAGGTGTTTTCAGAGCCACGACAGGCTTCAACACTGTGCGAAGATGTGCTCAACACGAAGGGTCCCCATGTCTCTCATCAAGGTCATCCGAGATCAATAACACCTCTGCAAGAAGGTCTGAAGAAGCCTCAAACATCACGACAGATAGAATAATACAAGCACACCCGCTAATGCAAGTTCAGCATTCCCCACCCTCTTAGCGGGGCTGTTAGATTTTGAAGAAGTTTGTCTTCTCCTTCAGTTGAGTTCGCTGTGCTCTTCTTGTCTCTCTCTGCCGCCTAACGCGGCTTCCCTTCTGCAAAATAAAGCAGTGCCCAACCGCAGAGTGTCCTGGCAGTGCCGACCGCAGAATGTCCGCGCAGTATCCCAGGCAGTGTGCAAACGTAGAATATCCCTGCAGCGCCCAACTGCAGAGCATCCCTGCCGTGCCCAACGGAGGAGTATCCCAGCAGTGCCCAGCCGCAGAACATCCGTGCATTGCAGCCCCCAACCTCACAGTATCCCTGCTGTCACCTACCCGAAATACTCCAGAGGTTCATTGTAGTGCCCCAATCTCTCGCTGCAGTGCCCAACTTCACAAAAGATCCAAGCCTCACACAAGCCACCTCACCACCCCAACAGGAATGCTTGGAATGTACAGTTGTTGCGTCTGCAGGCTGGCACAGCGCTTTAGAACATTTAGAATGACACTGCTGATACATGCTCCATATTATAGTTGCTGGAAGTAGTAGTTGATCATGCCAGCACACCCCCAACAGGTGAGGGCAGGGATGTTCGAAGCAGATACTTGCGTATTGTGATTTGCAATTGTTTCCAGCATGTGCTATCTCTCCATTCTTCTGCAGTCTGGTGTTTCCCAGAAGATGATTCCCCACGACGTGGACATGGAGGACCTTCCGGGGATAAGCATTTTTCTTCAGGTCTTGTAAGAGCTGATTCTGCAATGCGATGGCCGTGAGGGACGAAGCGCCAGAGAGGTTTCAAAATCACACATGTGTTTACATGCAACCGGAGGTATACGACGTTCTGATAAATGTTTTTTCGGCTTCGTGTAGCAGACGAGGCTCATGAGATGCATGAGATCAAGCCTATCTTGGACGAGGCGGCCTGGTGTCTACTCGGACTCATGACCTCCCGGGTAAAGTATGTTAGATACTATAGCCCACTCATACAGAGTAAGATGGTAGGATTCCGCATTAGCTGCGTAGGTCGCTGGCCAAGGCCTTTGAGGCTGCAGATCTTTCGCAGTCTCCTGTGTGTCTCAAGCAGCCCCCTGCCAGGCTTAGAAACCATCCGCGGCGCTTCTGAGAAGGCCACAAGTCCTGCACAGATTTCAACCCACAAGAACATGAAGCTGTCAAACTGTGCTTGCAAGCATGGGTATGCAACTGCTGTGCTGCAGGGCCCCGATGGTAACAGGCAGCTCGTCCTTACTATCCGGGGTGTGGCTTAAGGGGACAGCCTGTCCAGGCTTGCAAGCCATGTTTATAGGAGCCTTTTTCGTCTCGCTACCAGTGGTCTTGGCGACCCAAAGCCACAAGGGTTAGACAAGTTTTTGTTGCACTCTATCTGCTTGGTGCAGCTAAGGTTGTTTCACACACCAGTGTACAAGCTTCGAAGCACGTTTCCTGATGCGCTGCGGGGACTGCAGAACTAAGAAGCGCTCAAAAAAGCCCTAAGGGAATCAAGCACACAAGGATTTGGCTCAGTCGCCGTGTTTCTTTTAAAGGACAGCCATTTGTCGCCTGTAGAGCTCTTGCGCAAAACAAAGACTTCTCGTCTCTGCAGCGCTGTCTGGGCCCCTCATAAAGGGCTGTGTGTATTTCATCTGACAAATAATTGGAGCGAGCATCTGCAAAGGATGCCTGCACTAAGGTGGTGTTAGTCAGTGTTGAGTACTATGATAGATATCGTGCTACATCAGTTATTAGATGAATCCCGAGCTCCGGCATCTTTTCGGATCCTTTGCCATCTTTATTATTTAATTGCCGGTCGAGGTGTGGGACTTGGGGCTTAGTAGTAGGCACCAAGATGTGCACCAGACAATCCTTGGATAACAGCAACTCGACTGGCTGGCCACTCCTCCTGATGCTGACCAGAGCACAGGAAATTCAGACATTGTCTGTGGATCTCGCACGCAGATCCATGACTTGCTGCTGGTTCTGTGGGGAATCTATTGGTAATCGCCGCGGATGCATGGTTTGCAAGAACCTGAAATGGCATAAAGTCTGCAGAAGCATTAAGTCTCTTGGCTTCTGATGCCGCAATCATGCCTTCGTCCTCAGCGCCCGCAGCAGTCAACAGAGGCTGTCTCGTGTGTGGAGGCAATCTTGTTGCTGACCTGTGCGCAGACGACCACTGACTATCGTCGGTCTTCAGGTCTATGTTAGTTTACTCATATTAATGTGAAATTCAGTAATCTCAGCAGCGATTGAGTCTCAATGCTATAGGAAAGCTGCTGAGCCGCAATTGAGATCATGGCTTTTGGAAGCTGTGCAACTGTCTCTGTCCTAAGGCCCTAAGGGCATGAAGTGTTCCAAGGTCAAGCATGATCCTTTAGGTTCGGAAACACCCTAGGTGTTGTTGACGTTACATACTGTACAGCTGCAAGAGAGCCTTCGCCATAATTCGCTCATGCTCGAAGTAGCTCCGTCTGCCCTCTGAGCAAAAATCAAGAGCAGCACTGGGCCATGGATGTGGTAGGATGGACAGGAAGCTTTTCCACGTCAACTGCCCAGATAGAAACGTAGTTTGTGGCTGTGGACATCACGCCGACGGCCTTTCTTGAAGCATGTAGGGGTCAGCCAGGCTTGTCTGATCAGAATCTGACCTACATGTGTCCTGTGGCGAGTGATTCCATCTAGCAGCAAATCGTGCAGTATGGTGAGGTTTCATACGACCTCTGTTCGGTGATTCCTTGCAGCATTGACAGCACAATGCTTGCCTTGTTGGTCTGCAGCTTGATGGGGTTTCAGGGGGAAATGCCAGCAACAGACTCATGAAAGCAGACCCTCTTCACCGTGGTAAGATGAATCCCGCCGTTCAGCATACAAACAGACTTATCTTTCTCACGCTAGCCTGAAGCTCATACAGGCAAATGATCCTGAGCTTTCCTCCTCCATCGCCAACCACAGCGAGCAAAGAGTTCAGCATTTGAAATCGCCACCAACCTTCTCTCACCCACAATTCCGAGGCGCAACTCATACTTGGCTGCTCTTGTTGCCTGGCTTTTCCTGACTTGTGCAGGCCCTGCGGGGCGTATGAAGAGACGGCACCTCGCCAAAACTGCAGAAGCAGTTTGAATTTGGTTTTCCCTGCTTCAGCTGTTGTTTGTCGTTAAGGTTGAGGATCTTTGCTTTGTGGACATGTTCAAGGTAAGCTTTTTCTGCGGAGTGAACACAGACGAAAATCTTCTTACATTTTTGTGAGCATGTCAGTTGAGTAGTACAAGTGCTCGCTGGTCTTGTTAAAGCCATCACCTCCAACAGCCTCCACTGTGCTGATTTTGGCTGTGCTGGCATCTAAGGGCTGGTCCCCCGGAAGACGGTTTGCAGCTCAGGATGAGTTCTGAGAGTCTTGTGAGTTGAGAGTGATAAGAAAATAATGTCTGGACACTCAGGTGATCGCCGGGGATTGAAGCGTAGTTCCAATCGTGCCCGGGCCTAGGCTGCTGAGGAAACTCACGGCGGGACATGGTCGCAATTGGTGGAATCCATGTTCAGGTGATGATGCCTGCCTGTGTCCTAAAGTTCCTCACGCCAGAGGCAGGAGTAGGCACTTTGTAGTGGTAAACATGTTTCTGTGTGCTGGGTATCCAATCGTTTCTGAGCTGGTCGTGCAGGGGGCTTTCAATTTTGGTCTTTTTTTCTGAACATTGGCCTCTGCAAATGGCAGTGGTTTGGATGGTTCATTTTTCCAATGATTCTGGTGCATGCTCAAGGAAAGTTGTTCCTGTAGTCGAGACCTCGGGTGAACAGATGGGCAGACAAAGCGAGAGGAAAAGCGTGAAGCCGTGCCACATGTCTGGACAGGCCTTGGCTTCTATCATCATTGGTAAGGGCGGTGCTACCATTGCATCTGGGTGAAGTTTGGTCGTTCTGCAAATGCTAGGATATCCCGTCAAAGTAGTGCAGCTCTTTGGGCTTCACTTGTGTCTCAGGCCGAGATGCGGCAAAGGCGCGTTCCTCTGAGGCTGCCATGACTTTGCTTCTTCAAGCTGCAGTTTGGAGGACTCAGACCAAGATGAGTATCACGGAGCACAATGAGCTCTTTCCAGGCTCGGCCAGGGCGAGCAAACTATTTGGAGCTTACTTGTAATGTCGGCTGCTTCTCAGATCTGCCAGGAACTGACAGCCGTATCTTGACAGCTTCAGCCGCAGAAGCCACTCATTTGGCTGACCTGTCACGGCTAATCATCGAGAAGGCCCAGGGATTTCCATCCGGTGATCCAGTTCTCCGTTTTTCTCATGTAAGCAGGTAGCAGAGTGCGCTCAGCCTTCCAGTGATCCAACGGCCGGGCCTCCGAGCGGGCCGAGCGAACTCAGGCTCAGCGTCTTGGCCAGGGCCTCAGAAGAGGTCTGCAGAGGCCAAATGTCTAAGCCACGAGTTTGAGGTCCCCAAAGCAGCAGTGGGTGGCCTCATCGGCAAAGGAGGCACTGAAGGCTCTTCTTGACCGTTTGGCTTCGACAGGGCGCGTTGCAGGCACCAACATCAAACAGCTACGGGAAACCAGTGGCGCCAAGATCTCGATTTCAGAGCCCTCCGGGCAAGGCCCTGGGGCGGAGCAGGCCTGGATCTCTGGAACGGATCTTGTAACAGTTTGCAGTTTGCAACATGACAGAACATCTGCAGGTCGTCTCAATGGCCGGCACACGCGCAGCGCTTGAGCACCTCGGATGAATTTGCATGGCGGTCATGGGGTGTCATTCCTCAGAAGCCCCGCTTGCAGCGTCTCTCTAACTTTTGCCACATGCCCAGCACTGGTGAGCTGAGGATGATCATGGATGAGATCAACAAACAGGTGCCAAACCCCTTAGGTGTGTTGTTCAGCTTCCAGTGCACGCAGTGACTAACGGATTTAAAAGACCTCGAAAGCCAGGTGCAGGCACTGCAGGAAGAGAGTTGGCACGGCTCCCTGCAGCCTCAGTCATGTCAGGTGCCACGTGAGCAGCAGTGTTTATGTACGATTTATGTACGAGCACAGAAGAGTAAGTATGGGCTGCGGATCGAATGGGACAAGCAATTTTTATTTGCGAATCAAAGCTCAGATGCACAACTTCCAAGTTGTGAAAGAGGTAATGTCATCTAATCTGCAAGGCAAACAAGACGCGGGTTTGCTGTTGGGAAAACCCAAAGAGCGCTAGACCATCAAAATAGTTCGTCGCAGTTCTTTAACAGGAAATCGGCTTGATGAAGACCACATAGGAATCATGAAGCTCATGTGTGGCAGGTTGAAGCCAGTCGGCAGTTTCCGTCAAGCGTGCCAGTTTCCAGCAGCCATTGACAGATCAAACCATGGAATTGGAGTGCTGTAAAATATTTTGAAGATGCAATACTTCTATCGACCAAGCAGCCAACTACGACCATGCGAGGTAGAGTGAGTGTGTGCAAAGTTTCATTGAACTTATGGATGCAGATATCAGGTATCCTTTCCGGGAGACCACCAACAAAGATGCTGCATTATGCGAAAACATGCACGACAAATACTCTGACGAAAGCAAGAGACGTCGGTTTGTAAAGGCAGGTGCAGCTTTCTACTTGTTGAACCCATCACTACGTGTGGTCGATGGGTGCTTGTTCGTCGACGAGTGATGAGCCTGGACTTCAAAGCAAAGGCCTACAAAGTCCGTGCTTCATGCTAATTCTTGCCGCTTGTGTAGTTTGCTTGGTAGGTGCTTCCTTCGTCTCGGATACGAGTGATGTGATTGACAGGTTAGAGGCCAGCCTGAGCTTGAAAGAATTCTTTTGCTGGCTCAGTGCATTGCAGGCAGCCGATGGGCAGCACAACCTCGTCGTGGTCGCCAGTCGCAATGTAAACTCTGAGGACCCCGTCTGGAGCAAATGTTCATGTAAGCGACGAAATGCTCTAGTCAAGATGCGAACAGCTTTCGCTGCGTAGGCCGTTCGTTCGCAGCGGGTTGAGGTGCGACTGGAATTGTCCTTGTGAAAGCTTTGTGCTTCTGCGAAATTGTGTTGCATGGCAGGCTGCAGTTGCCTCTCGTGGTCTCAATCAGTTCGCTCGGTGCTATGGCTGCTTAAGACTCTGCAGCTGATTGGCCATGCCTCGTGTGAGCTTAGAGAGACCAAGGGGCCAAACACGTACTGCCCTCCAAGACGAACCAAGCAGTTCAACTATGCGAGGTGCCTGGGTTCAGCACTTTGAAGTGCAATTCTCACATGTGTGGCCCCCAGCGGAGCAAGGTAGATTCCAGAAGATGGCAACATCCCTACGCTTGTCCCGAATGGGAACCATGAAGCGAGACCAGATGATCAAAGAAGTGACCGCGGCAGCTCCGCAACAAGGCAGTCAGCCGTACATCGGCAAAACTCAAGAGTCTCTGACACAGCGTCAGGCCTGAAAGGTGCAAGCCTCGAAACACGGCTTGCAACATTTGGCATGCAACTTGGTCTTACAAATGGTCGTGGGTGGCATTCTGCCATTTGAAGTTGCTTGCTGCGTCACCTAGTCCACAGCTCGCCCCTCAAAAAATCGCATTGAGCTTTTTTATACCTCAGTCCTCTACTGTACCTTTTTAGTTCCACATCAGCAACAGGGAGAGCAGTCTGCAGGGACCCATTTATTCCTTGATAGCAACACTGTTTTTTCTGCGGATGATCGTGACAATCACGACTTCTATGTTCTCTTGACTGTCAAGCACTTCCTTCCATGCTGCAGCCCGTAAATTTTTGTAGTAGCTTGGCCGCTGACACAAAGAGTCGAAAGCATGTTTGGTAGCAGCAGCTGCTCAACCAGCTTGGTGCGAAAGGGTCATTATGAGTTTTGCTGAAGCTGCGGTGGACCTGTCCATGACTGCCAAACTGTATCAGAGGCAGATGCTTGAAATGGAAGGGGACGGCAACTGTCAGTAACTTGACAGCAGCCCTTTCAAACCCTGGCCTTCCAATGTATTTGCTTCGATGATTCGGTGAGGGCAGCCCGATGTCATCTAAGATTCCGATCAATGGCATTCAACTTGTTTGGCAAGCAGGCAGACATCACCAGACTTGCACTTGTGAGCACTGCTCCTAGGGTGTCTACCCCTACGCCCATAAAACTGTTGCAGGACTATCATGCTTCACCACGGCAAGCCGCTGTGAGACACATGAAGCCCCCAGGTGGCATCAGCGGATTAGAGTAGATTCCTATCCCTGCTTCATTTACAGCAGAGCTGCCCAGGAAGCACTCAGACTTCTTCGGGGTTTTCTTCGAGACTGCGGTCCTTGACCCAGTGCATAACCTTCACTTCTTGTGCAGTAAGCCTTGATTCATTGGGAGAGGCGGAGTTTTCGCGATATCTGCAGAACATGGCTCGCAATGGCACGTGGGGGGATGAGCTCACGCTGCGAGCTGTGGTCGAGGCGTATGGCTGTATTGCTCATGTCCCTTGGCTCAAGTCTTTGAGGCTTTGAGGCTGTCCATGTCGCATGTACAGCTCGTTGCAGCTTTACCTGTCAATGCGCCTCAGGTAGTGACCTCCGAGCCGGCAAACTGGCATCTTGTCCAGATAAGGACTTTCAGGGAAGCCCGACGGTCTTCTCCAGGCAGTGCGAAGCCGTGGATGCAGCCAACTCCGCATGAGGTTGTAACACAACAGAGGGAGAGAGGATTTTTTCAGGGAACGCTCAGGGTGTGTTGCGGCTCACGCGTTGCCATTGCTCAGGCACTTGGTGTACGAACCTGAAAGCTCAAATACGCCAGATTTGGACATAGCTGTTTGTCCGAAGGGCATGGGCTTGCCGAAAAGCAGGCTGGGCACTCCCACTGGGCATTCCTACTGGGCCGGCTTTGAGTCTGTAGCAAAGAATCTTGGCAGGAAGCGAATCTTCCTGTCGTACATCTCGTACCCTGGCTTGTAATCAAGCCGAGCGGGGCTATTTTGAGCAGTTGCGGATTCAGGGGAGAGAATCGGTAGCTGAGGCCGATACACTACAATGCCATCATTTCCCGTGCCTGACACGATCGAACTTCTCGCCGATGCGTGGCATTTGCTCCTGACAGCTACTGGTTCAAGCCACAGGGTGTACAGAGGTTGGACGGATGCGGTGAAGGAACGGGATCACAGCTCCAAAGCTTCATAAGCATGCCGCCTCCATCCTTTTGCTGTGTTTCGGTCCTCCATCAGTTGCAGAAGCCAGCTGTGGGCTGCGGGCCAAAAGGGGTGGGCCACATGCTTCTGTGTAGTTCATGAAAACATGTAGGGTCTGAAATACCCAGCGTCCTGCCCTGAAACCAACCACCCTACTCGTGGCACCAGCCACTTCAGACAGTGTTGTCTGATTGTATGTTAGGAGGAAATTCCGCCGAGGTTTGAGGTCTGGGCGAACGCCAGAAGTTCCGGCCCGATCGCTATCACTGGGAGCTGGGGACCTGGACCTGAGAAACCCAAGGGGGATCCTCCTTGTCAGTGCCGTGCCGATATGCTTACCACACGCAGTTCGAGTGCACAAAGGGGCAATGTAATGAAGAACCCTCAGTGAAAGAGCCCTTCACAGTCTTTCCAGGATCGGTTTTGACTGAAATCAGATGCTATCCTGAAGCATCACATGCTATGTGACAAGTTCCAGAGAAAGCTTGAAAAGCTGATGAGGCACCTACACAGGGCCTGCGGGGGCTTTCTCCTTTCGCCACCAGGCCTCGGTGCCGCTGCGGGCGTCGGCCGCCTGAACCACGGCGTCGAGCTCTTGACACGGATCTCAGAGGACGGTTCAAAACCCTCTTTGCTTCAGGTTTGAAACGCTTTGACTACTGCAGCTTGCAAATTGCGACGCTGTGCTTGTGTGCTGCTTCTTGCAACAGAACATCGTGCTGGGACATGAGAGTCTGCTTAGCATGCTGCTGAAGACAGAATAATGCTATCAGCAGATCGTAGGGTTTGGGGCTATCGCGATTGAGCTCTATGGCTTAGGCGGAGATGTCATGCATCATGACTGAACTAAGATTCCTTGGGCAGTACGGTAGCAATTTGTTGCTCGCTCTTTTCATGCCCAGCACGCCTAGCTGGGTCAGGGCATGCCGCAGTACGTCTTGGAGGACGACGTGCACGTGACCTGTCTCTGTCATTTTGTATTGCAGCAGATGCATCGCATGCAGCAGCTGTCTGCAAAAGCGGAGGACACACGAGGGTTCGCGTTGAGTTGCGTGGTGCCCAACAGACTGGTCGGTGGCATCATTGGCAGGCCAGCTAATAGTTCTGCTGCTGGAGCAATGGCAAACTGGAATGTTGTGCTGGGCGCTATGGCAATATTTCTTTGATGCACGCAGGGGTGGCAGCGGCACGAAGGAGCTGGTGTTGGTGTTTTTGCGCCTGACTGGACGTTGCTGGTTGCATCAGTAGAGAAGCAGACATCCATCATCATCTTGGAAGCCATGCGAACTCTGCTTTGATTCTGTGTGCCCCAGGTCCGGAGGCAGATCAAACAATCAATTTGCTGATGTTTTCTGCATTCTGGTTCAATTGAGCCCGTGGTTTCACCCATGCCAGTGCATTTCCAGTGCTAGTACAGTAATGAAGATGTGCGGCAAGTGGTCAACGTATTTTCCAGAAGCTGTTTAGATTTGCGAGAAAGATGCCTTAGCATCAGGAAGTTGGGAGCAGGTCAACCAAGCAACATAATGTCCTGGAGTGGCGAGCTCTTTGCGCCACTGCGATGGATCTTGAAGTTACCATCATCAGCGCCAAAGGCTTGCGCAATGCAATGCAGATGGTGGCTGGTTTACCGGCAAGTCCGACCCATATTGCATTTGCACCTCGGCGATTGGACGAACGTGGCTGAACCTGCAGACCAGCATGCCAGTATGTACAAGTCTTGGAGGTGTGAGAGCCTCAGGCAAAATTGCAGGACTTCCGTCGCACACGCAGAGGTCTGCGCGGTTACCATGCAGGGCACAGTTCGGCACCTTTCACTGCGTGATGTTGGCAGGACGCGCTTTCAGACGAAGGTTGTGAAAGACAGTCTTGATCCAAAGTGGCAAGAAACATCCAGCATTCGATTAGAGCCTCTCTTTGCAACAAGGCTCACAGCTTTGTCAGCAAGTGACTCACAGAAAGTATGCACTGTTAGAAGCCTTCCGAGGCGTCGAGAACCCAATACCTGGAGTTTGAGATTTGGGACCAGGACATTGGTTCGTCGGAATTTCTCGGCAAAGCTGTTCTCAATCCGAGAAGGCGGGATCATGGCAGGCTCAGATCCGTTTGACCCTCCGAATTGTCAGCTGTTGTATCCACTCCTCAGGATTCCACTGGAGTCGGGCTACGAGGGTGACCTTAAGCTCACCGGAGCCCGTGCCACAGGCAGCCTGAGAAAGTCGGCATGGTTCGATTGCAGTCTTGTCGCATGCATTTACATCTCCGGCCACTTCTTGGCCTTGAACGGTTATGAGGAACAGACAAGTAGGAAACGGAGCAGATTATCTCGGAGATCGAGCCCGGGTGGGCAGACAGCCTTGATCAAGCACTTCTGACCAACAGATCGAGCTGCCTGAGCTGATGGTCAGAACTTTAAGTGGCTACGCAGACTGCATGTCTTTGTTCCTTCTGTGCCGCCTGCAGCGGCATGCTTTGAAGATGGCAATTGACGCGGGCTCAGGATTTCAGGTGCCCTTCCATTCTTCTTCTTTGTGTGCTGGGCCCTATGGTAGGTAGAAGAGAGTTTCCAGTTTTAGAAAAGCGCAACGATATCTTGAACATGTGGCTTCTTTTCGGATGGCCTTGTGGAGAACAAGCAGCGTGATGCACTTCCCAAGAGTGATGTGACACTCTATGGGGGTCCGTACCCAGAGTGGCTTGGTTAATGAGCATAACGCCAACTGACAAAGGGTTGCAAGAAATGACACACAATTTTCTGTTGAAGGGCAGGCATGTCCTGATGCAGGCAGCGTGCGGGTTCGAGTCATGGTTCAGAAAGCTGGTGACTCTTACCCTGTCTCTGTAGCGGAGTACTGCTGCTGTTGCAGGCGGGGCAGTAGAATTTGCGAGAAGCAAGATTGTCTTGTGCCGGCATGCCGTTTCCGGAACGCTTGCTCTTGAAACAGGACATAGACGCGATGGCAGACTCTGCAGCCTGGACAGGTTTCGTCTTGTCCGAGACGCCTCGCGGAGTGAAAAAGAACATGACCGCTGTGGTGCTGGCAGGTTTGCAGAGGGACCGGACCCGCCAGCCATCTTGTTCAGGAGGTGCAGCAACTTACCAACACCAAAATTGGGATTCGCGACATACCTGGAGATGCGGAGCATCGTTCTCTGAACATCGCAGGCCCAGACACGCTTAGCAGTCGTTTGCTGCACAAGGAAGTTGGATGTATGAGGTTCAAGATTGCCCCTGCAGGCCCCCTGCCAAACGCATGCGCGGCCTACATGCTGATGATGAAGAGGCATCAGCTTGAATGTTGGGGTGGGGAGCCTGCAAGGTAGCTAGATGTCGACTTCAGTGCCTGTGTGGAATTGCGTGCAGGTATCTGGACTCAGAAGCTCAGGCAGGAATACGGAAAGCTTTCAGAAAGTTCTTGGATAAACTATTGGTCAGGCTCCCGGCGGCTACATCAACTGAGTCTTGGATCACACAACGTGTCACACTTAAAGCCGCTGCTGAGTCCTGAGTCGCCAGTCACCGGTACCTAAGCGAAGAAACACATTTATTGTCAACATCTTCTACGCGCAGACACAACTTTGCAAGAGCCAGGGACATGAGGCACAGGCCAGGGCAGCAAAAGCTTCCAAAGCGTGTTAGTTATCACCAGACCAGAGCCTCGCAAGCATCGGTCAACAAAAGCAGTGATTCATCATTTGTGGAGAAGGACCGCGGTTCAGCCAGCCTGGTGCTATTACAAGCTTGAGCTCAGATAGTTACAAGGAAAGGAACGACCTGTTTGCCCTTCACAAAAACTTTCAAGACGCATGACAATGCTGTGGAGGGCACCTTCGCCCAGCATGCTTGTGCAAAACGTCGTGGTCGGATACACCTCTACAGGTCCGTTTCAGAGGTGCACTTGCAGGTAGGATGATGCAATCTGTGACAGCCATCATGCGCTTGGGACTGGGCCTTCTGAACTGGTTCATAGACAAGGTGGGGATGACGGCTCAAAGAGGGATGGAAGCTTCATCTCGACTGAAACCAGCCAATCTCTGAAAAGCGGACTCGAATCAGTCGATTCGATTCTAGCGTTACAGAAGCTCGCGTTTAGCTTTGAGGCGCTCAGCCACCGCAATCAGCGACATGAACGCAGCAATTGTGTAAGAGGCTCGCATAATTTGCAACGCAAAATGCTCTGCAATGGAGTGCATTCGCTTGTTCAAGGGGCTTCCTTGGCTGTGCCCCGCGGCTACTCTGATCCGACGTCAAGTGGACGTTCTGCTCTCCCAAAGCCTTCGATCGGGCTTCAAAGGATCCTCATGCCAGTTGCCTTTGCAGCATCGTTCGCACCTTTGCAGCGGCAGAGAATTAGATTACGGGCAACCGCATCAGAAGTTCTTTTCATCAGCAAGAACCTGAGGGTGACCAATGTGGGACCCAAGGGATTGGGAGTGGTTGCTACGGCACCTCTGGCAAGAGGCGAGCTGTTACTTGAAGAAGCTCCACTGCTCTTGTTTCAAAACCAGTCCTTTGAAGTCATTTTCGGTGATCTGCAGGATGTTCTAATTGACGATCGGGCGTTTGATCTTTGGGAATCTAGTCTGAAGGAAACGGTGGAATCTCAATGCGATGAAGAGTCTGCTGCCCTGTTTTGGGATCTTGCCGACACGTGCAGCGAGCCTGGCTTTAAGACGGCGCTTGGAATTGCTCGAACCAATGCGTTGGGTTTAGATGCTGATTCAGCCGGCCTTTTCCTCTTTCTGTCGCGCTTTAACCACAGCTGTCAGCCCAACGTCCATCACAGCTGGCAGGAGGACCGGGGCACGCAAGTTCTGCGTGCTTCTTGCAGCATTGCTGAGGGCGAAGAGCTCTGCATTTCGTATTTGTCCTTGTTGGCGCTGTGTGCTCCTACTCGTGAGCGTCTCGGAGAAATCAGTGATCGCTTCGGGTTTGATTGTGCGTGTACTGCATGTTCTGCCGGTGAACGGCGAACACGTGACAGCGACTGGAAGAGAGAACGCCTGTCGCAACTATGTGCAGCTTTGTCACAGGATGAGAGCAGAGACCATGAAAAGTCTGGGCCATCAGACGGAATACGCCTACTGCTGCGCAAGCGGATCCCTTTGTTCTTCGAAGTGGAACAAGAGAGCCGACAAGATGTCGAAGCTATACTCCAGAAGGGCCCGCGAGGAGATGATACCGATACCTCAGAGACCATTGTGGAAACTATCGACATGAGTAGTGGCCTTCGTGAGGCCATGGATCTTCTGGATGAGGAGCTGCTTGGAAACCCGGCAGCGCAGGCACTTTGCTTCTTTGGAGGTTTCCGAAAAGCAATGGCCTTTGGTCGGCTGTCAGCTGCCAAGTCCTTCTGCCAAATAAAGGATTTGAGGTTGACACAGCTTTTGGATGTTAAGGGTTTTTAAGGACGAACATGTGACGTGGCAACAAGACTCAGCTCAGGTCCCTGGCCAAAGCCGCCTGGAATGCTACCTCCACTGCTGAGGGGTCGACCTCCTGGCGGGCCCAGAGGCTTCAATCCTTGGCTGAGGATCCCAGAGGTCTGAGCAGGAGCATGCAAGAGCGTAAAACTGTGGACGACTCAGTGGATGGCTAGGACTGCCACAACATCCTTACATGGCTATTTGCTTTGCAAAAGCTTCAGTGTTTGCTTAAAGTTGACCTTGCGCAGCAGTCTCAGACTCAACCTAGCTTCTTTGATCACAGACTACCAGTCCCCACATCGGCAAGCTGACTCGGACTTCGCACGCTTTGCGGAACATCATGCAGAGGTAACACCTCGTCCTGTCAGTAGTCTCAACGTGTTTTAAGTGGAGCTCAAGCTCAGCTTCAGTTGAAATGGAGCACTGGTCTGACCCAGTCGCCATCCCAGCTTGACGGACCTTGCTTCCAAACAGTTTCGAGTCTTGCACCTTCAAAAGCACGATTGAGGCCATCGTCAGGTTTTGGCCTTAGGCCTTTCTTCTTTGCTTTGATGTAGTGGCTACCTTGGCCAGGGTCGGGGTCAACCTGGGCTCGGCGCAGGCCTTCATTGAAACTGCTGTGAACCGAGAGGAACCCATCTCGCATGCTTCCTTTTCTGCCAGGGTGTCTCAGCCTCCAAGCTACTGACAACTCTCCATGAGGTCCGGAGTGAAACGTCATGGTTTCTCGCAGCAACCGAACTTGCCGCGATCCAGCTCAATGCAAGGTGTTGGCGAGATCGCTCAACTTGATGAGGCTCCCGGTTTTTTCTGGTATTCTGGCAGCCTGTGCTTTGATGACTTGGGAGGCTGGCCCTGGTGGCTGCACCTGCCTTGGTTCAATGTGGCGCCCTCAGTTGTGCAGATATCAGGAGCAGACTCGCGCTTGCCGCATTTTTTTGTAAAAGGCTTCTATATTCACAGCGTGGACTTTTTCAGCTGGCGCACATCCCGGGCCTGCTGGCAGTTGCAAGGTATATAATTTTGCAAATGTTCATTGGGGCAGCTAGGCTTTCAAAGCTCATTCTGGTCTACGTTCTGATGGGAACTGTCTGGTGCAGCTGCCGAGACTTGCCAGAACAAGCTACATTCATCCCACCGCAGCTCTCCGCATGCCAGTTTCATTGTCATGCCGGATCAACTCTACAACGGGCAGCTCTGGCATGTTCAAGTGTCTCAGATCTCTGAGACTTGCTGGAGATCAGTTTCTGAGCTGTCAGTGCCAGGATGGGTATGGGCATGTTTCGGTGGGCCTTTGAAATTTTCTACCCCGAGGCGTATTTGGGGATAGTCGGATAGTCTGCATGGCATTTCTACGCTCCGCATGCATTCTGCTGCGAGATTGCCCGGTCCAACGGCAGCTTACACGATCCGGCAGAGAAAGCGATTGCCTGCGTAGCGGGGCGCAGGCCACTCGACATATTTTGTTGTCTCAATCTTTGCCTACCTGCTTGCACAAGACATTCAACTTTGTGTGCTTTTCCCCGACAAATATTTCCTCAAAAAGGGAATCGAGGATAGGAATGTCTGAAACATGCACCACTTCAGGGTCCATTTCAAGGCCTGGAGACGGGACTCAAATTCAAAACAACAACTTAAATGGTGATTGCTTCAAGAGCCGTATGCCTTTAAGCTTATGATAGATGGTGTTGTGATCGCTTGCAGGATTGGCCAGCTTGCCGGAATGCGAGCCAGACTCAGGCAACCTGAGCACTGGACGATGGCTCTGCCTGCAGCCATTGCAGGGAGTTTGATGCAGAGATGAGATAAGAGATGTCAATAAGTCAGGAAAACAGCAATTTCAGGAGTCGTCCTAGCTTGATGGTGAAGTGAGAGTAGTGAGTCAGGATGTGGTACGCACTTGCAATTAGGCCTCGCGCGTTTCATTGCTCGGCCGTCAACAGATAGCTTGCTGTGCTGACAGGTGGCATGGATCCACAAAGTATCTCTGTTTGACGCCAGATGCCGGGCCCCACAGTAAGACACAGATGCCCAAGAGTCTTCTTGTTATTTCGAGCGAGAATACAACTTGGATTATTGAGCGACACCCTCGAAGGGGATTGTGCCCCGCCAGAGTTTGGCAAGGCATGTTTTTTTGGTTTACTCAAAAGCCGCCGCGGATTTGATTCAGCAGGGATTTGGATTTGGTCACGGTAGTAGTACTGGCAGCGGTAAGAGTATGGCGGTAAGAGTAGGAGGAGATGGGGGACAAGGAGAAGGAGCGGGAGGGAGGAGGAGGACGAGCACTTGGCGGCGGCAGCAGCAGCAGCAGCAGCGCAATAACCAATCATGAAAGGTGAGCATGATGAGCATCTTAGAATCTGGATTCTTGGCCCCTGGGTTATCACAATTGCTGCCTCATCTCTCAATTATTCGGAGCTCATCATGACATATCAGAAGTTCTTAGAGGAAATCCTTGCCACAACTAGTACCTGGCTCACTGGAATATTCCAATATTTTTGAAAGGTCATACCATTGGTTCAGATGATGCTAACATCAGATGCCTTGGCACAGGAGCCCCCAAAATGCGTACCGTGAATCTGGCACATCCTCACATGTCGATGGGTTTGTCTTGGCAGGGCTGGACCGTTACTGGTGATGAAAAACATGCTTGCTCCGTGGAGTTCCACAGTGCTCGGGTCCTGGTGTCTGCACCGGGCTGCGGGAGCACTCCAACAGAACAAGTTTTGCCCAGGTGTACTGGCAAGATAGGCTGGTCCCCGATACGTGCCCACTCGAAGCGGTAAATGATTGATGGAGCAACATGTTCAGAATTGCTCAGGTACATGCTGAGGCTGCTCGCTCCTACATCCGATTTTCACGAGTGCTGGCTTTCCTTCAAGGTGGGAATCGGTCAGCTGGATCTGAAAAAATTTCAGTAGATGGCATAGCCATGCGCAGCCCGTGAACCATCTTCGATATGGTGGCTGGTTGGCTGCTTATCCCAATGAGCAGAAGGCTTCTCCTTACAAGGCCCAAGATCCTTTTGCTTTTGAAATCTGCTTCAAAATTAGGACTTGGCCTGGCAGTTCGTAGGTGGTTCGAGACAGCTCCTGCCCAGCAGATGCTTGCAAGCTACTCTGTGCTGGGAGCCCGGGGAGCCCATCTTATACACATTTCAGGCTCTCTTGCTTCTTGTCAAGTCCTGCAGGCCTGGACCAACATGTTGCCTCCCTCACAGAGGTCCTGCACAGGCCAACTCCTTTGTTGGTTTGATGAGATGTCGGAACAGCTGCAGCCAGCCATACCATTCTGTACCTGCTGATCTGGTTTATGCTAGGTCAATTGTGCGCCTCTGCAGCAAGCAATGAATTTGACAGTTCTTAGTTCCCTCGGCCTACCACCCCAAGCCAATCACGCCTGACACAACAACTGCTGCCTACTGAATTTTTGCGTGCATACAGCCGCAACAGACTACCATAAAAGTACGTATACGCTCGTATCTGTCCTTGTTTTTGAAGCCTCGGAGTTGCCATTTTCCTAACTGTCGTCGTTTTTGATGTCAAAAAAGATTTAAAATGCCAACAGTCACAAGGATCGCGGGTGTCCTGGTCATAATCCTCGTAACTTTCACCGTTTTTCCTGCCGCAGATGTCAAATCATACCAAAAGTGCCAACAGTCACAGGGATGGTGCGCGTTCTAATCACAATCGTCCTGACTGTAACCATTTTTGATGTCCCAAAGCTCAAGACTGCCAACGCTAACGAAAATGGTGGGGGTCCTAATCACGATCCGCGAATTACCATTGTGTTTGATGTTGCAGATCCCCGAAATGCCAACAATCACAAGGATGGTGCATGTCCCCCAACCATCCACACCACAGGGGGGAGGGGAAAGATCCGAATGACTTGACACGAATGGTGACAGTTATTGAAGAAAGGCAGCCACCCACACTTCAGGGGGAGGGAGGAGGTCTGAATGTTTTCAGCAAAAGATACTACTGCTGACAGTTTCGGGAGAAAGCACACCCACCACACCACAGGGGGGCAGGGGGAAAGAATTGAATTAGTTGACAGTCATGGAATAAAGCAAACACCACACCACAGGGGAGGAGGAGGATCTGCCTGACCTGTCAAATATGCAGGTCTTGATGCTGCAAAGTGACAGTCACTTGCTAGAATGCTGGCAGTTGTGAGACCTTGTACCATTCGATATACTTGGGGGGAGGGGGGGGGTGCTGGCTAGCACTGCACCGTTGCTTCTCAGAAATGTGTGGCAGGTTTCTACATTGGAGAGCAGCGCTGCAGAGATCACATGTGCGAAGCTCAGCATGTCTTTCTTGGTAAGGTCTTTTTTGATTTGGTTTTTCCCCACCCTCGCAGTGGGGTTGTTAGACTTTAAAGTAGATGTTGTCCTTGCCCAACCGCAAGGTATCCCTGCAGTGCCCAACTGCAAAGTATCCCTGCAGTGGCCAACCAATGAGTATCCCTGCAATGCTTAACGGATGTGCCCAACCGCAAAGTATCCCTGCAGTGCTCAACCACCAAGTATCCCGGCAGTGCCCAACCGCAGAGTATCCCTTCAGTACCCAACTGCAGAGTATCCCTGCAGTGCCGAACCGCAGAGTATCCCTGCAGTGCCCAACCACCAAGTATCCCGGCAGTGCCCAACCACCACGTATCCCTGCAATGCCCAACCGCACACTATCCCTGCAGTGCCCAACCGCAAAGTATCCTTACACTGCCCAACCGCAAAGTATCCCTGCAGTGCTCGACCACTAAGTATCCTCGAAGTGCCCAACCGCAAGGTATCCCTGCAGTGCCCAACTGCAAAGTATCCCTGCAATGCCCAACCAATGAGTATCCCTGCAATGCTTAACGGATGTGCCCAACCGCCGAGTATCCCTGCAGTGCCCAACCGCAGAGTATCCCTTCAGTGCCCAACCGCAGAGTATCCTTACACTGCC